CCCTCTTGGCAAAAAATCACAGGTAGAATTGAAACGTCGGCATATTTTGATTTTAAATCGACACGGATTAGAGTCTGCGAAAAACTGATTACGCTGTAGTGGTTTTGAGGTGTTCCGTTGAATTTCCATTAATCGTGATGATAAGCGAGCATGACTCAGTACCCAGTGATGTTTGGTCACTTATGAAAACCTAACGTGACGTGACGTGACGTAACTTCACGCAACGCAACACAACTTTCAACCTAACCTAACCCAATCTAATCTAACCCAACCTAGTCTAACCTAACCTAACCTAACCTAACACATCGCCATGTGAACAGAACCAAACTGAACAGAACTAAACTGTGCATCTTCGTGATATTTTGTGGGTCTGTTATGTATATTTATAGCCCGAGAACGGACCCACCGATTTGCACCATTTTTCGCATGCCGATGCCTTAAAAGCGGGAAGAGACTTAGGAAAGGTAGAAACTTCGGAAGTGTCATGTGTTCGAGTCTCGGTGACGGTGGTTTCTGTATCTCGAAAGGTAAGCGTGGCAGAAGATCGGCGCCAAGACAAAATCTGTTTGATTCAACCAGGAGATTTCAGGGCAAAGGTCGTGACCCAGAAAATTTGTTCTGGGTTTGAGTCTCGGTGAAGGTAGTTTCTGTAGATCGATAATTAAGCACGCCAGAGGAACTGCACCGAGAAACAACTTTTTCGGAGAGGAGATTACTGCAGCAAAAGTTACAAAAACGAAAACTGTCCTGGGTTCGAGTATCCGAGATGTTGGATTTAGGAATTCCGGCTTGTTATTGACGTCTTCCGACTCCCATCCACTGACCTTTCAGCCGTTTTCTCTGATATTGCACGAGAGATGCCTCCCAAACTCTTCTTTGGCATTCTTTGGACGTACCGGTATAATTCCTTCAGACGCAAACACATTATTGCAAAGCTGATTGCACCACAGATGCCTCGTATAAACAAAGATACAGCTGCAAAGGTTATCAGACTGTATTGAGCCAGAAACTATTCTTTTCTTAATATTACGAATTTAATATAACTACGTTAGTTTCGAAGGTGGAATATTCGGACGGACACGGCAGTCCATTATTATTATTATTATTATTAGTGTTCTGTCTGACGACAGGTCCATATGAACAGAATCCTTCCATCCTTTTCTCGGACTGGGACCTGTTCATATACGTTCTTGGCAGATGATCCAGAAGTGGTTTGCCATTGCCTTCTTCTGTGTGTGAATGGAGTAATTGTTGGGATGCCACAGAGAAACCGGGGAAGCCCCCGGAGGAAAACGCCGTGTTGCCTAGACGACGGCCTTGCCCAACACAAATTATAAATTCGGGCACCGCCGGGATACGAACCCGAGACCCGAGGATTACAAGGCCAGCGTTCTAACCGCTAGACCACCGTGGCTATGGCAGTCCATTAAGAGTACGTTTTAATTTTGTCTGTCGTCGGTTGACTGTAGCTGGAAACCCTGAAGTGATTAGACGACTTTCGAGACATGGGTATAGATGTGAGGATAATATTAAAGAGAAACTGGGTGAACGTGATGCCTGAATTTGTGTGGTTCAAGATAGTGAATACGATAGTGGTTTCCAAGCGGGTAATTTCCTTGGATGTGTTGGAACTATAGTCAGCTTCTCAGGAAGGAATATGCACAATTTTTTTTTTTTGGGGGGGGGGGGCTTTGCCGTGCTCTGGCCCCCTTCTGCCTTCAGGCAGCCCAAATGTAACTATATATATTAATTTTACAGCTGGGTTTTATCATTTAACGTCTATCATTTGCATACTAATCCTCAAATGTGTTTGTCATGTCTTCATGTAATTACATCATGTATCTATTAATAGTAATTAATCGCCTTTCCACTTCGAAGTAGTTGTTGGGTCGCGTTAGTTGTAATGAGGGGGTATGAGGGGGTTAGATATAACCGTGTAGAGGGGCGCAGGCCCCCAGAAACGTCATTACACTGCGGTGTAATCTGTTCACTTTTGTCAATACCTTTTACCCACCATTTTCAGAACTGTTCGTCGTTTAAATAATAGTACCATAAATAACTATGTTGAACTCGTTATAGTCTGGAACGTTTATTTCAGACATTATTCATGGCTGTTTGTCGTGTTATAACGAAATATAAGGACTTTTGTAGCGTGACCAGCCTTGTAACAGTAGATTTGTATGTATAATAAATGAACATCAATGTCATTGTTGTGTACAGAAGTGTAAAGAATGCATTTGAACTCATTTTTTCTCGTGTTATTGCCAACAAAACCTTGCAGTGACCGTGTGGAAACTTCAGTGACTAGTCAGTTGTGAATTGCCCATGTTTCGTACAATAGTACTCCACCTCCTACGTCCTGTCTTTTAATCGAGAATTATTTTGCAATCACGAAGGCGTTTTAACCAGGTAGAATAATTCTGCGTATAAACATCTTGTTACCGGAATGGATACAATTGTCTCGCGTATTTAGCTCTCGGGGCTTAGTGGCGAAATTAACAATGCAAATTTGTATCCACTCCATTTAGATTTGTTGTCTGTAGTCTGAATGAGACATTCTTGATGTTTTTTCAGTTGGTGTCAGCTTTTTGTTAGCTAACTTCTCAGTTTGAAACCTGTTCACGTAATTCGATTTGAACAAATGATTTATGTTAACAAATTGTTGTTGAACGTGTTAACATTGGGTCTTTTAAAATGTGACTGGCAGCCAAGGCATAGTTAACGGAAGGACATTTGCTGCATGAAATCGAAGAATGGAAAGTTTTGAAATGATCTCAAGTTTTAAAAAAAAACTTTCGATACTGTTTCCAGAAGCGAAGGGCAGGCAATCCACTCGTTATAAATGTTAGCTATGAATTATACATGAGAATATCGCCGTCTCTGTTATCCAAAAACAGTTGTAATTGTACGCATTATAATAATAATGAGGCATAAGGTAGCAAACTTCTTCTCATTACTTCCAAGTTTTTTGGAGTCGATGTTGGCAAGAGAGTTCCAAACAGCAACTTCATAAGGATGTTTAGAGAAGGTAAATTATAGTTTGTATTGCGCTTATCAACTTTATAGCATAAGAGAATGGACAATGTTTGTGCTGATGGAAGTAAAGTTTAGTGTTAAAGACGCTAAGATTTTAAATAAATAGAATACCAATATTTATGGAGGATATAATAAAAAGACAGCGTATTAGTTTTTCTGGAAAAAGGAAACAACCTACTTTTGCCAACATTAAGCTTCGTATGATTTGCAGTACACCGATTTTGCACAGAGTTTAGGTAATGTGACGAAATATTTTTATATCGTCATCATAGATGATATAGCATGAAATCTTAATGCATAGAATAGAATATTGTGTGGAGCACCAGACAATACAATGAAAGGCGACGAGAAAAGGAAAAAGATGGGGTGGGAGAAAATGAACGTAGCACAGCTGCGTAGGTAACTACAAAACCAATTAAGCAACTGCTAAGCTTGTCTAAAAAGCAAGGAGCCCTAAACCAGTTCAAAACTAGCTTATTTGGGTAAACATAAATGGAAATGCGTTGTCCTCATGAACACAAAGTGGTAGTAACGGTGTCAGGGTATGTGACCAAATTTGTGGCAGATGGCTTATATTTTGTAAAACTTTGCTGCAAAGAATTTAACTTGGACTCGGTGTCACTTACAATAGCAGCACAATTACGTAATTATGTTTTTAGATTTTTGGAAAATAGGAAACTTTGACATGTTAATCGTTGGTGTAATGTTAAATGAGAACATGGAGGTAGCATATAAACGTGACTTAGCTGGGATTCGACCCCATGCCCCCACGCGTATGTGTCTATTACGGTATCACTGAGGAAACGCGCACAACGTGTTATGTTGGTATTATTGTTTATTATTAAAAGCAGTGGTATTCAACCTTTTTTGTTCTCGTACCCCCAGGTATAATTTCTCTTCAACTTTGTACCCCCAAAGTTGTTGGTGTATAATTAAAGTTATACATAGTATATAATCTACATATAAAATAAATTAAATTAATTACATTACTGATTATTCAATGTTTATCATAAAATAATACATTTTTTTTAAATTTTACGTACCCCCTAAGATGTCTTCGCGTACCCCAGGTTGAATTCCACTGATTTAAAGGGTACACTTGAATCGTGTGGTACTTACAGTCCACGACTGTAATCTTGAGACTAGCGGGGAGAGGAAGTGGGGTACGGACTTACTGCATTCCTTGTAAGACTCAAGATTACAGTCGTGGACTATACAGCTACAAAGTAGTCTTGGTGTACGCTACTTTACTGATGAGTTTGTAAATACGAAGTCTAGGTGTTTTGAATGAGCGGTGTTCTGTGAATAATCAATTTCCAATAAATAAATTAGTAGAGAAAGCAATGTTTTAAAACGTATGTGCATGGATTTGTGTTGAAACTGCAGACTTTATATTCAGTAGATTCTAGCTGGTTTATTTTCTTACCAAGAATGTAAGTAGCAGGAGTCAAAGAGTTGGGTCACCACACGTCCCTGTCTGTTGACTTTGTCCAGGTGTTGAAGAAGGTTCGTAGATTTGTCTCCGTGTCTCCCGTTCATGTGTGTTTTAGTAAAATGATTTTGTAGGAGTTGAGGTTTTCACAGCGGTAAGTCTGAAGATGGCTGTCTTCTGGGTTGTTGCGCCGTGTACTCTGGTAGAAGTTTACCGACGTTTCAGAGGTTCCTGCTGCCTCCATCACCAGGTCAAGCCCATCAGTGAACTTCTACCAGACTACACGGCGCAACAAGACAGAAGACGGTCATCTTTAAAATGGTTTTGTGTGCACTCACGGACAGGCATTTCTAAATCGTAGCGTAGCTCGTGCTGTTGTAATTGGGTTTTACTTATGTGCGCGCAATACAGATGGCGACACCTACGAAGTACGCATGTGGAAACTGTTATATCCCGGCACGGATTACACCCATCCATACTTTGGACTAGCCTCGACTTCAAAGGGTTGAATGAGGGTTTTCAATTGTTACAGGACATGTTGGACGTGTGCGTGGGGACGAGTGTTGGAACCATCACGGAGCCTGATTGTCTGGGGCCCTGTGAACCGGGAACCAGTGTTACCCTTGAGGGTATTGTCTGGCACGAGACGGAGGGCGGTGAGTACAACAGTGCCGTATTGTGTTGAGCTCCTTTTAAGTCATGTTTACAACTTCTTCTTTATTGTCAAAGTGGAGTATACATTTGCATGTCGTTCGGTCTTCATCCCATCCTGTTGCTTCCATTTTCAGTGTTGTACCGAAAGTTGAGGCTGAGTGGTTTGTAAATCTGAAGATGACAGTTTCCTGGGATATTGCGTCTCTCGTAGAAGTTGACCCACGTTTCAGAGATGCTTACTCGCCCCATCATCAAGGCTACACAGCGCAATTTACCAGAAGGCTGTCATCTCCACACGTACCGTCATGAGTACCTGGAATCTCTAGTATAATGCTATAATGCAGCATTCGAATCCATTGCTTGTCAAAAAACCCCCCCCCCAAATCATATAATTTAGACTAATCTGTGTTGTGTGGAGTACACATACTCAGTGTACTTGCAGTTTTGGTGACGTAAATTAATAGATAGTGACCCCCAAAAGTTAAATGCATGTTTAAACCTTAATTTTAAATAAGCTTATTGTGTGCTTATTTGTATTTCATTTTTAAGATAACAAAATCAACAGTGAGTCAGTTATTAAGGATCTACTGACTTTATGGAGATGGGGGCCTCTTTGATATGCTTATAGTTGCTTAGCTGGTCACGAACTTCTCCGCGTTTAATCATACCTTGAAGGTTCATTGCCATGTTCACGATATCCTTCTGCCGGTCTTTAGTTAGTGCAGGATGCGCTCTCTTACCTGGTTTTCTCGAGACGCACTTGAGAGTGACACAGACATGAGATTGTCACATTCGTGAGGCGTGAGCATTACTAGGCCATCGAACACAGAATGAAGTTTTGTATAGTGTTGGGTTTTTAAAGAATGCAACTGTTTTTAATTTTTTTAGGATTGTGGAAGATAACGCGGTTAGTGTGTGGATTATTTCGATGTAAGCGAGGTAACTGGCAAATCGTCGTTTTTAAAATTTATTTAATGACACATCGCAAAAACAACAAATTGCTTTTGAAATGTATAGTCTTAATCCTCCGGAACTTTAAATTCAACATGACAGTGTTACGCGTTTTTGATACTAATTTTATTTTTCTGCTGAATGTGTCACGTGGTATGTGCTTACCAGTTCTGGGTTAGATGTCAACATTAACTGGGTATTTGGTATACCGGTTTATATGCAAAAAGAATGAGCTCAAAATAGAGTTTTATTTTGGCCAGCTCCTTTTTAAACAGAAATTATAATAGAATTTATGGGAAAGTCGTATTTTTGTATTTTAGTTAAGGAATGTTTGAGACGAGATATTGGCAGATGTCTTGCTTCACACTTGCTTCATTCAGAAAACAACTGTCGTTGCCGATTTGCATTTTCCCGCATCCTTTACGGGAAATCAGGTCTTGACGTCATAGCAAACCAGCGCGTTTAATGTGGCCTTCCGGCTGCAAATCCACGTCATTCGAATGACGAATGAACTGGCCAGGGGGAAGGTTCCTTCAAATTCGAAGTTTTGAATTGTGTTACCATGAAGACCTCGTGTGCAATTGTGTGCGTCAGTTTTGAACTTCGGAGAGTGCGAACTTGTTCGTCTACAGCTCTTGATATTCTTTGTTCAAGTCTGCAGATACAGCGGTGTTTCAGAATTAATTTAATATAAACTATGAAAGCCACGGTGGTCTAGCGGTTAGAACGCTGGCCTTGTAATCCTGGGGGCTCGGGTTCGATTCCCGGCGGTACCCGAATTTATAACTTGTGTTGGGCAAGGCCGTGGGCTAGGCAACACGGGGGCTTCCCCGGTTTATCCGTGGCATCCCAACAATTACTCCATTCACACACAGAAGAAGGCAATGGCAAACTACTTCTGGATCATCTGCCAAGAACGTATATGAACAAGTCCCAGTCCGAGAAAAGGATGGAAGGACCCTGTTCATATGGACCTGTCGTCAGACAGAACACTAAATAATAATTATAATATAAACTATGAGAAGAATTCTAAACCAATTTCACAATTAGAATGACTTTTAAAGCACCTACATGTAACGACGTGTTCACATCGGTGAACCTTGTGGCAGTGACGTCATCAAGCTAGCACCTGCCAACTCATCATCAAGAAAGGCCACTATAATTATTAAAGCATTTCTGTATATTCCACGACAATATCCATGTTACCTCGTCTCATTCAGATTTTGTCTCTGAAAATC